CCAAAGAAGACATATAGATGGCTAACAAACACATGAAAAGATGCTCAACATTGCTCAATATTAGAGAAATGCAAATCAAAATTGCAATGGGATACCACCTCACATCATTTAGAATGGCCATCGTCAAAAAGTCTACAAACAGTAAATGCTGGAGAGGGTTTGGAGACAAGGCGTGCTAGGTCTTGTTGCAGCATGTGGGCCTTCTCTTTGCAGACTACAGTCTCTCTAGTTGCAGCAGGAGGGTTTTACTTGCCCCAGGGCATGTGGGAGCTTAGGCCCCCGACCAGGGATTGAACCAATTACCACTGCATCAGAGGGCAGATTCTTAATCACTGGACACCAGGGAGTTCAGTTCAGTTCAGTTCAGTTCAGTCGCTGAATCGTGTCTGACTCTGTGACCCCATGAATTGCAGCACGCCAGGCTTCCTGTCCATCACCAACTCCTGGAGTCTACTCAAACTCATGTCCATTGAGTCGATGATGTCATCCAGCCAGCTCTATCTTCTGTCGTCGCCTTCTTCTCCTGCCCCCAATCCCTCCCAGTATCATGGTCTTTTCCAATGAGTCAACTCTTCGCATGAGGTGGCCAAAGTATTGGAGTTTCAACTTCAGCATCAGTCCTTCCAATGAACACCTAGGACTGATCTCCCCTAGGATGGACTGGTTGGATATGCTTGCAGTCCAGGGGACTCTCAAGAGTCTTTTCTGTCGAAGATAAGGTGATCATAGGTTCGTGGCTTTATCTCTGGGCTTTCTATTCTGTTCCATTGATCTATATTTCTGTCTTTGTGCCAGTACCATACTGTCTTGATGACTGTGGCTTTGTAGTATAGTCTGAAGTCAGGCAGGTTGATTCCTCCAGTTCCATTCTTCTTTCTCAAGGTTACTTTGCTATTCGAGGTTTTTTGTATTTCCATACAAATTGTGAAATTATTTGTTCTAGTTCTGTGAAAAATACCGTTGGTAGTTTGATAGGGATTGCATTGAATCTATAGATTGCTTTCGGTAGTATAGCCATTTTGACAATATTGATTCTTCCAATCCATGAACACATATATTTCTCCATCTGTTTGTGTCCTCTTTGATTTCTTTCATCAGTGTTTTATAGATCAATGGAACAGAATAGAAAGCTCAGAGATAAAGCCAGGAACCTATGGTCACCTTATCTTCGACAAAGGAGGCAAGGATATACAGTGGAAAAAAGACAACCTCTTTAACAAGTGGTGCTGGGAAAACTGGTCAACCACCTGTAAAAGAATGAAACTAGAACACTTTCTAACACCATACACAAAAATAAACTCAAAATGGATTAAAGATCTAAATGTAAGACCAGAAACTATAAAACTCCTAGAGGAGAACATAGGCAAACACTCTCCGACATAAATCACAGCAGGATCCTCTATGACACACATCCCAGAATTTTAGAAACAAAAGCAAAAATTAACAAATGGGACCTAATGAAACTTAAAAGCTTTTGCATAGCAAAGGAAACTATAAGCAAGGTGAAAAGACAGCCCTCAGAATGGGAGAAAATAATAGCAAACGAAGCAACAGACAAAGGATTAATCTCAAAAATATACAAGCAACTCCTCCAGCTCAACTCCAGAAAAATAAATGACCCAATCAAAAAATGGGCCAAAGAACTAAACAGACATTTCTCCGAGGAAGACATACAGATGGCAAAAAAAACACATGAAAAGATGCTCAACATCACTCATTATCAGAGAAATGCAAATCAAAACCACAATGAGGTACCATTACACGCCAGTCAGGTTGGCTGCTATCCAAAAGTCTATAAGCAATAAATGCTGGAGAGGGTGTGGTGAAAAGGGAACCCTCTTACACTGTTGGTGGGAATGCAAATTAGTACAGCCACTATGGAAAACAGTGTGGAGATTTCTTAAAAAGCTGGAAATAGAACTGCCATATGGCCCAGCAATCCCACTTCTGGGCATACACACCGAGGAAACCAGATCTGAAAGAGACACGTGCACCCCAATGTTCATCGCAGCACTGTTTATAATAGCCAGGTCATGGAAGCAACCTAGATGCCCATCAGCAGACGAATGGATGAGGAAGCTGTGGTACATATACACCATGGAATATTACTCAGCCATTAAAAAGAATTCATTTGAATCAGTTCTAATGAGATGGATGAAACTGGAGCCCATTATACAGAGCGAAGTAAGCCAGAAAGATATATGTTACAGTATACTAACACATATATATGGAATTTAGAAAGATGGTAACGATAACCCTATATGCAAAACAGAAAAAGAGACTCCGATGTATAGAACAGACTTGTGGACTCTGGGAGAAGGCGAGGGTGGGATGTTTCAAGAGAACAGTATCGAAACATGTATATTATCTAGGGTGAAACAGATCACCAGCCCAGGTTGGGCGCATGAGACAAGTGCTTGGGCCTGGTGCACTGGGAAGACCCAGAGGGATCGGGTGGAGAGGGAGGTGGGAGGGGGGACCGGGATGGGGAATACATGTAAATCCATGGCTAATTCATTTCAATTTATGACAAAAACCACTGCAATAATGTAAAGTAATTAGCCTCCAACTAATAAAAATAAAGAATAAAAATTAAAAAAAATGCAAAGGCAAAAAAAAAAAAGTCTTCTCCAATACCACAGTTCAAAAGCATCAATTTTTCAGCGCTCAGCTTTCTTCACAGTCCAACTCTCACATCCATACACGACCACTGGAAAAACCATAGCCTTGACTAGACAGACCTTTGTTGGCAATGTAATGTCTCTGCTTTTTAATATGCTATCTAGGATGGTCATAAGCTTCCTTCCAAGGAGTAAGCGTCTTTTAATTTCAGGGCTGCAATCACCATTTGCAGTGATTTTGGAGGCCCAAAAAAATAAAGTCTGACACTGTTTTCATTGTTTCCCCGTCTATTTCCCATGAAGTGATGGGACCAGATGCCATAATCTTAGTTTTCTGAGTGTTGAGCTTTAAGCCAACTTTTCCACTCTCCTCTTTCACTTTCATCAAGAGGTTTTTTAGTTCCTTGTCACTTTCTGCCATAAGGGTGGTGTCATCTGCATATCTGAGGTTATTGATATTTCTCCTGGCAATCTTGATTCCAGCGTGTGCTTCTTCCAGCCCAACATTTCTTGTGATGTACTCTGCATATAAGTTAAATAAGCAGGGTGATAATATACAGCCTTGACGTACTCCCTTTCCTATTTGGAACCAGTCTGTTGCTCCATGTCCAGTTCTAACCGTTGTTTCCTGACCTGCATATAGGTTTCTCAAGAGGCAGGTGAGGTGGTCTGGTATTCCCATATCTTTCAGAATTTTCCACAGTTTATTGTGATCCAGACATTTTATTTACTTAATCATTTATTTTATTAGTGTGGATTGACACATATTAGTGTGGGCTCACACATATTAGTGTGGACTCACACATATTACTGTATACTTTGGGTTATCATCCAATACTCTGTTATTTGTATTGTCCATCAAACCTTTTCCAATTTGGCAGTAGGAGCTTCTCAGACTTTCTTTTAGAATTTCAAGGTCGATTTCATCATATTTGTGCAAGCAAACTGCTCTCCTATTGTGAAAGTTTGAGTTTGACTCTTGACAGAGTTTTCACACACGGAGTGCTGCCGCTGGTGAACCCAGAACTCTTGGCCTTAGAACTCCCATCCCTAGTGGCCTGTAGGACTGTGGACCTCAGAGTCTCTGATACAGGAGACAAACCTTACAACTCCACAGCTGTTCACTGATGTTTCTGGATAAACTGTGCAGGTACCTCTTGAGATCAGGTTTACTGATGGAAGAGGATGAGACAGCCAGAAAGGGCAAGGTTAGACTGCTAGGGGTCAAGAATGTGCCTAGGAACTTGCTCTCTTAAGGATTTGAGAGAGACTGGTAGCATGATGTGAAATTAACAGAATTAGAAGCCCGGCAAAAACCTACATGGCCATAAGTCCTATGAGTTCCTTGTTGGGAATATTTTGGAGCCCAAGGTTGGTTGTCCACCATTGCTTGGGGCCCAGTCTAGAGACTGAAGATGCTAAGATATTCAAAGGCTTCAGTAAGGCCCCTTCGGTAAGGTCACAATGCACAATTTTATGTGCATTTTTATCTCCAGGACTTAACCTTGGGGAAAAAGGAAGGACTCTGGATGACCTTTTTTCTACCTGACAGTGGTGTAGACCTGTCCTTGGCTCTTTTGTGATTCTATCAGCTCAGTTTGGGAGAGTGCTGCCCTTGGAACCAGGATAGGTTGGGGGAAGTTGATCAGGAAAACAGGTGATCATTGGGGCTGGGACAACAGAGCATTTGGCTCCAAATGGAATCACTTAGAAATGTCAGTGTTGCCATAATCACAGCCTCTGTTCTCTGGTGCTGAATAGAAACAAAGAAACAGCATTTTGGGTGAGGCAGAAAAGAATAGCTTTTATTGCTTTGCCAGGCAAAGGTGGACACAGTGGGCTAATGTCCTGAAGACCATGTGAACCACCTTGGAGCAGGTCGTGAGGAGTTTCATAGTGTTTAAGGGGCAGGGCATGATCAGCTGGTGAAGAGTTCTTGGATGGGTTGGCATCAAGCATCATCAACCTTTTGGTTTCAGCCAGTTTAGGGTCTATGTTCTTATGCTCAGCAGATTTCATCTGGAGGGCTCTACTTTCTGTAAAAACAACTTAGGAATGTGTGTCAGGCCTTTGTATGTTTTAGGAAACTTGGAGTTTGGCAATTCTGTTATGTTGCAGAATTATAGTCTAAATTGTTACCAGTTCCCCAGCCCAACAGCTATTCTTTGTTTCTACATCTTCACATTTCCCAGTCTTAGCTCTGCTCTCAGAGTAGGAAGGGCTTCCACCATAAACACCCCAAGGGCCTAGGGAGCCACCTGTGCCAGGAGCCTTGCCACAGGCCTGTGTTCCTCCTGGGAGGGGCATGGGCTGGGTTCAGGGGGCTAGTTGTTTATAAAGTGACAGAAACCCTGCCCTAAGCAGAGGACTCCAGCCACGATGAAGGGACTACTGCTTGTGCTGGCCTTGCTGGTCACCAGAGAGCTGACCTTTGAGATGTGTGAGGGTAGGAAGAAGGGTCCAGATGGCCCTCCTGATCCTTGCCTGTTGCTGTCTCACTGCATCCTTCACAGTCCTGTCCAAGCTGCTTCAAGGGGCAGATTCTGAGGGCAACTGTCTGATCAGTGCCCAGGAGTCCTGCACAAACTCCTTGAGGCTTTCAGTCTTTGGATGGAAGGAGTGGTGTGGGATTGGAAGGGTCATTAGCTATGCACACACTGGGGGATAGTTAGTTTGGGGGTAGTGATGCTCATTTGGAAGGGAGGAAGCAGGCTGGTATGCCTGGGGCAGTGGTCAAGGGCAGAGGGGTCTCCAGGCCTACCGCCTCTTACTGCTCCCTTTACTGGGAGGTTTTCTGTCTGGAATGTAAACAGTCCTGGGAGAGGGTGGGTCTCTGTGGGAGGTGAGTCTGGAAGCTTTGGATGTGAGTTCTATCAAGTGGTGAGAAACAGGAACCTCCTACTCTGGTAATCCTCATGTTAAGGTGCTTTCTGTCTGTGCTTTCAGTGGAAGCCTGCCCTGTGTTTTATGGAGTGGTTAGTACGGTGTTTCTTGGAAGCAAAACATTGTTGAACTCAACGTTTGATTTGGCTGATGCTACGGATGAGGAAAAGGAAGCTATGGGAAAACTCCTGGATTGCTTCAATGAGGAGGGATTTTGTGCCAGGCTTTTCATTATAGAACTTGTGGTAATTTACTCTCTTCATCCCCTACCCTTCCCTGCCCACTCACATACATAGTGCAGTATGCCACATGGGAATAGATCATGCAGTCATGGGATATGTGACAGACAAGAGCTATAAACAAAGAAACACATAAACCCTTTGCTTCACCCTGCAACACCTGTAATATGCAAGTGCAGTCCATCTGCACATCCAGCATCTTGTTACTGAATATGCCTGTATCATGCCAGTCAGCTCACACACAGAATAGGGTTGTAATATCAATGCAGTAGGCCAAGTGTCTTGAGTCATGTGATTTTTTTCCCTCAGTGAGAGGAGCTAGTATTGGAGGAGTAGAATTTTAATGTTTGGCAGAAAAGGAAGCATTCAGCTCACACACGTGTAAGAGTCTTGTCAGCTCTACTTTAGGAATATTGAAAAGGACTCCCTGGCTTTGTGAAGTTTCTGGCCAGTGGTCTCGTCACCTCTTGCTCCCACTCTGATGGCCATTGCTCTGGCTCAGAGCCCCATTTCCACCCACATGGTCTCCATGTCCACAAGCCAGAATTTTCACTGTGGTGTTTCACTGTGGTGCCTGAGGAGCCTGAGGAGGATTCTAGGTATCTGTGACTGCTCACCTAAGCAAGCAGTGTATCTCCCAAAGAATCATCTTTCCTTTTTTGTTCTTGTCAAGTAATATTGGAGATTGTGAATAGTCTTTCTCAACACATTTTCCTCAAATTGTTGATTGTTCAAAACGAGAGGTTTTCTACAAAGAGAGTTTCATGCAGTGATAGGAGCATACAGAGCACCTGGGTTGTTTACGACACCTGCATGCACATTCCATCCGCCCAGCACACCTGAGAGAAGAGGCTCGGGTGCAAGAGGTGTGACCCACACCCAGTCTCCAGCACCTTGCTCCTACCTCAGGACTAGTTCCGGCTGTGCCTTGATGACCCTCGTCATCTCCTCCCCTCCCTGGCATGGTTGGTGCCTCTGTCTCCCTCCTGACACCTGTGCCTGGGCTGTTAGGAAGCCATTCTCCCCCTGGTGCCTGCTGGCAGCCCCTTCTCCAGTGGTGGGTCTGTGGGCAGAGGTTCTTGTGGGGGATGGGGCTGAATCCCTGAGGGTGAGGTATGAGGTGATCCTTGGAGACAGGATAGCCTGGCTGTGGGCTCAGGTCCTGTCTTTTCTCCTCCTATTCCCTCCCAGAGTTCCATCATTTTCAATGAGGATTGCTCTGGCTATAGAGTGTCCACAGTGGTGAGCACTGTTTCAGGATTACTTCTCAGTGTGACGTCTTTGGTGAGATGATCTTTGCCAGGGATGCCAGCGTGCACTCAAGCTTCCTGCCCTGCTCTCAACTGAAGCTGGAATCCAGATACCTGTCCCACCTCGTGTGGTCTCTATGAGGCTGACTCTAATAAAATCACTGCAGCATTGCTCAGTGTGCCAAGTGTGTGTGTGCTCTGGGGAGGATGTGAGGCAGGAGGTCTTGGGAGATGGTGAGAAGTGACACATGTGATCATTGAGAGCATGGGGACCAGGTTCCGACAGAACAAGGATAAACCTAGGCCCTGTCCCTGGCAAGCTGTAGATACTTGGGCAAGTTTGTTTAACTTTTTCAAGTCATTTTGTCATCTGCTAAATGGGGATTGTGTGTCAAGATTAAGCCAGTAACATAGTTTATAACAAGATTATAGCCAATAGCTTGGAAGGATAAAATTATTGTTTGCGGACACAGATAGCATATCTCCTACTCTGGCCTTCAGCACAGTGCCAGAACTACCAGTCCTTTAAATGTCCCTCTGATTATTGAAGGGTGACTCCTGAGATGACCTGAGAGGGTCATCACAGGTCCCCTCTTCCTCCTCGTGGCATTTGCCATTTCCTACTTCTAGTTTGACATTTCTTCAGGGACACTAAGTGCCACTGCTGTTCTTGGTCCTGCCATGGGGACCAGGAACTCCATAAGTGTTGGACCAGGAAGAAGGAAGTGTATAGAAGAAACTACCCCAGTGAGAATGTTGTTTCTGTGGAAGCAGCTCATGCTATGAAGTGTGAATTGAAGGATGTGCCATATGGGGGCACATGTCCTAAACTCTCCAACCTACTTGTAAAAGCATGAAATAGGTAGTTGCATTACAATAGGAGATTTGTGAAGCTACCAGGATGGGAGTAGGTTTTATTCAGATTCTTAGGGTCTAGGTCATTGTCAGGCTACTCTCAGTATGACCCACAGAAAGAGTGGCATAACTGATAAAAATCTTTCTACCTTCTAGCCAGGCAGATGTGCTAAGGTCACATACTGGGAGTTGAACTTGAGACTTGATGCTAAGTAGCCAGGGCCTTGAGCCCTGGATCTTCTTTGACCTACTGCCTAAATTAGGCATTTAAATTCACTGTTTGCTCTTCCTACACCTTGATTTATATCTACCAAGTTCTGGACACTCTGCTGAAGTTAGTATTAAGTGTTCAGGTCATACTGTGAAAGTGACATTCGTGCTGTTGTGTCTGACTCTTTCTGACCCTATGTAGCCTGCCAGGCTCCTCTGTCCATGGAATTCTCCAGACAAGAATACTGGAATGGGTAGCTGTTCCCTTCCCTGGGGGATCTTCCCAAACCAGGGATCGAACCCAGGTCTCCTGCATTGCAGGGAGAGTCTTTACCTTGTGTGAGCCACAAGGGAAGCCCTCAAGTCATGCTAAAGAGGTCTAAAATTTTGTTGAAATGTACAAGATAAAAATTGAACAGATTAAGGGTTAAATCGTATCCTTGTATGAGATAAACTGACATCATAGCAATGTCAACCCTTCCCAAATCCATCTAAACTAACCTTTGTTCTCATGAAGATTAACTTAATGTTTACTCCCAGAAACTAAATTTTTGAAGTCAACCAAAAAATTGAGATAAATTGAAACTATCCAGAGGATTGTTCTCACCACATTTTTGCAACAGAAATAAAAGTCTCCATAAATTGTCAAGTTTTAGTGGAGATTAGATACATGGTCATACTGAGAGAAGAGAAAATCCATACATAGAGTCAAAGTTAGTTTAAGATATAATAATAACAGTTTATTGAATCTTGAAGAAAGAATGGGTATTTTTAAGAATGGCATTGAGAAAAATGAGTTAACATTAAAACAATCTAGATGGATCTGCAGAGCCTTTTTCTGTGGATTTATGTGGAATAATGATTTAATTGCCATAATTCTAATGTTTGATTATTCATCTGTCATAGCCCATTTCTTCTCAACCCCCTCCCCACTCTTTCAGTTTAACTTTCATGATATCACAGTTTCTTGTTTTTCTCCTGCTTTACTGGAAGATACTTCTCAGGTCTTCCAGGTTGTATCCTATATCCAAGTTCATTCTCTTTGCATCTCTTCTTCCTTATATATGCTCACTTAAAAAAATTTTTTTAAAATTTATTTATTTTTTAGAATGAGTTTGGAAGTTTACCTTCTCTGCAATTTTCTGGAAGAGTTTGAATAGCATAGGTGTTAGTTCTTCCTTAATTTTTGGTAGAATTCAGCTGTGAAGCCATCTGGTCCTGGGCTTTTGTTCGCTGGAAGATTTCTGATTACAGTTTCAATTTCTGTGCTTGTGATGGGTCTGTTAGGATTTTCCATTTCTTCCTGGTTCAGTTTTGTAAAGTTATACTTTTCTAAGAATTTGTCCATTTCTTCCAAGTTGTCCATTTTATTGGCATATAGTTGCTGATAGTAGTCTCTTATGATCCTTTGTATTTCTGTGTTGTCTGTTGTGATCTCTCCATTTTTATTTCTAATTTTGTTGATTTGATCCTTCTCCCTTTGTTTCTTGATGAGTCTGGCTAATGGCTTGTCATTTTATTTATCTTCTCAAAGAACCAGCTTTTAGCTTTGTTGATTTTTCTATGGTCTCTTTTGTTTCTTTTGCATTTGTTTCTTCCCTAATTTTTGTGATTTATTTCCTTCTACCAACCCCGGGATTCTTCATTTCTTACTTTTCTAGTTGCTTTACATGTAGAGTTATGTTATTTATTTATTTTTATTTTTGGAGGCTAACTACTTTACAATATTGTATTGGTTTTGCCATACATTGACATTAATCCACCATGGGTGTACATGTGTTCCCCATTCTGGACACTCCTCCCACCTCCCTCCCCATCCCACCCCTCTGGATCATCCCAGTGCACCAGCCCTGAGCTCCCTGTATCATGCATCGAACCTGGACTGGCAATCCTTTTCACATATGATAATATACATGTTTCAATGCCATTCTCCCTAACCATCCCACCCTCACCCTCTCCCACAGAGTCCAAAAGACTGTTCTATACATCTGTGTCTCTTTTGCTGTCTCGCATATAGGGTTATCATTACCATCATTCTAAATTCCATATATATGCATTAGTATACTGTATTGGTATTTTTCTCTCTGGCTTACTTCACTCTGTATAATAGGCTACAGTTTCATCCACCTCATTAGAACTGATTCAAATGTATTCTTTTTAATGGCTGAGTAATATTCAATTGTGTATATGGACCACAGCTTTCTTATCCATTCATCTGCTGATGGACATCTAGGTTGCTTCCATGTCCTGGCTATTATAAAGTGATGTGATGAATATTGGGGTACATGTGTCTCTTTCAATTCTGGTTTTCTCAATGTGTATGCCCAGCAGTGGTATTGCTGGGTCATATGGCAGTTCTATTTCCAGTTTTTCAAGGAATCTCCACACTTCTCCATAGTGGCTGTACTAGTTTGCATTCCCACTAACAGTGTAAGGGGGTTCCCTTTTCTCCACAGCCTCTCCAGCATTTATTGCTTGTAGACTTTTGGATAGCAGCCATTCTGACTGGTGTGTAATGGTACCTCATTGTGGTTTTGCATTTCTCTAATAATGACTGAGTGGTATCTCCTCACGGCTGCCTCTCCTGACCTTGAACGTGGAGTAGCTCCTCTTGGTCCTCCTACACCCACGCAGCCACCGCTCCTTGGACGTGGGGTTGCTCCTCTCAGCCGCAGCCCCTGACCTCGGGAGTGGGATAGATACCAAGGGAACATTCCATGCAAAGATGGGTTTGATAAAGGACAGAAATGGTATGGACCTAACAGAAGCAGAAGATATTAAGAAGAGGTGGCAAGAACACACAGAAGAACTGTACAAAAAAGATCTTCACGACCCAGATAATCATGATGGTGTGATCACTCACCTAGAGCCAGACATCCTGGAATGTGAAGTCAAGTGGGCCTTAGAAAGCATCACTACGATGAAAGCTAGTGGAGGTGATGAAATTCCAGTTGAACTATTTCAAATCCTGAAAGATGATGCTGTGAAGGTGCTGCACTCAATATGCAAGCAAATTTGGAAAACTCAGCAGTGGCCACAGGACTGGAAAAGCTCAGTTTTCATTCCAATCCCAAAGAAAGGCAATCCCAAAGAATGCTTAAACTACCACACAATTGCACTCATCTCACACGCTAGTAAAGTAATGCTCAAAATTCTCCAAGCCAGGCTTCAGCAATACATGAACCGTGAACTTCCAGATGTTCAAGCTGGTTTAAGAAAAGGAAGAGGAACCAGAGATCAAATTGCCAACATCTGCTGGATTGTCAAAAAAGCAAGAGAGTTCCAGGAAAACATCCATTTTTGCTTTATTGACTATGCCAAAGCCTTCGACTGTGTGGATCACAATAAACTGTGGAAAATTCTGAAAGAGATGGGAATACCAGACCACCTCACCTGCCTCTTGAGAAACCAATATGCAGGTCAGGAAGCTATAGTTAGAACTGGACATGGAACAACAGACTGATTCCAAATAGGAAAAGGAGTACGTCAATGCTGTATATTGTCACCCTGCTTATTTAACTTATATGCAGAGTACATCATGAGAAATGCTGCGCTTGGATGAAGCACAAGCTGTCATCACAATTGCCGGGAGAAATATCAATAACCTCAGATACGCAGATGACACCACCCTTATGGCAGAAAGTGACAAGGAACTAAAAAACCTCTTGATGAAAGTGAAAGAGGAGAGTGGAAAAGTTGGCTTAAAGCTCAACATTCCGGAAACTAAGATCATGGCATCTGGTCCCATCACTTCATGGGAAATAGACGGGGAAACAATGGAAACAGTGTCAGACTTTATTTTTGGGGGCTCCAAAATCACTGCAGATAGTGACTGCAGCCATGAAATTAAAAGACGCTTACTCCTTGGAAGGAAAGTTATGACCAACCTAGATAGCATATTAAAAAGCAGAGACATTACATTGCCAACAAAGGTCCGTCTAGTCAAGGCTATTGTTTTTCCAGTGGTCATGTATGGAT